TAAGATGTATCTGTGTCATTTTAATAAGTCGTATGACTTGTCCCCTACACGGTAAGATGTATCTATGTCATTTTAATAAGTCGTATGACTTGTCCCCTAAACAGGTAAGATGTATCTATGTCATTTTAATAAGTCGTATGACTTGTCCCCTACACGGTAAGATGTATCTATGTCATTTTAATAAGTCGTATGACTTGTCCCCTAAACAGGTAAGATGTATCTATACTATTTTGGCGCAAGTCACGTGCGTTGTCACCTACAGAGAAGGGCGAATGTATGTCATTTTGATGGGAATTTCGTGTGTTGTCCTTACACAGGAAGAAGTTTTCAAACAGCAACAAGTGTTTTTATAGTTTAATTCGATACACCGCGTAGTTTCAACTTAGGTTTCGGAGTTTCTACAAACGTTAGTTTAGGCCTCTTAATACATAATTAACAATATATTTTTATTTCACATTCTTGAGTTCTAAAGTTGTATTTTTTTACATTTCCTCAAAGTAATCTACACATCCGGTTCGGATTAGACAGAGTACGCCTTGATCGAGTACGCCATAACACAAAAAAAGACGTATTTTAGTTTACTGTTTAATATAAAATAATTATTCTGATAACTCATTTTTTTACATGGTATAAGCGATAGAAACTCGTAAATATCTTGTCTTCATTAAATATCAAAATACCTTTCATTTCTGCTGCATGAGAAGATCGGGAGTTGATGACCTGATGAAAAAGGTCTTCAAGTCTTTTCAACTCATCTATTCCCCTTGTTGTTCTGTTGTCAAGGTCTTTCCAGCCTAGAAAATGAAACCGGAACTATATTAAAGGTGTAGGACGACTGTAAATAAGACCACAGTGTGTACTTCCTCCGTAAAGAAATAGTTAAGTTGTTGAAAACAAACATTGTAGAACCGAGAGAATGATAAAGAAGTAGACTAATTAACATATAATAGAAAGTTTTAAAGTTCATAGAGAAACAAGAAACGCATGTTGTACCTAACCATGTTCACATGTTTATTGATAAAAATTGATTGGTACCTTGTTGGTTGTTCAATATCAGTTCCTTTTATAGAATCAAAAGAGTTTGTTCGACCTACTTGGATACTCTGACTTTCTCATTTCTCCCACGATGTTCAAAATAACAGGAAAAACATGAAATGATTCTACTCTTTCTATCCTACAAAAGATACCGGTCCTGAAC